TGGAAGGGGATAGGGAGCAGGATGTGGCCCTCACCATCCACGAAGAAATGGTTGGCGACCTGCTACGGCACTTGGATGCGCACAAGTTGATGGGGCCGGATGGGATCCACCCAAGGGTACTGAGAGAACTGGCAGAGGAGCTGGCCAAGCCCGTATCCATCATTTATCAGCAGTCCTGGCTATCAGGGGAAGTCCCAGCTGACTGGCGGCTAGCGAATGTGACGCCCATCTACAAGAAGGGCCGGAGGGCAGACCCGGGAAACTACAGGCCTGTCAGTTTGACCTCAGTACCAGGGAAGCTCATGGAGCAGATCCTCTTGAGAGTCATCATGTGGCACTTGCAGGGAAAGCAGGCGATCAGGCCCAGTCAGCATGGGTTTATGGAAGTCAGATCCTGCTTGACGAACCTGATCTCCTTCTATGACAAAGTGACATGCTGGGTGGATGAGGGAAAGGCTGTGGATGTGGTCTACCTTGACTTCAGCAAGGCTTTTGACACCGTCTCCACAGCATTCTCCTCAGGAAACTGGCTGCTCTTGGCTTGGACTGGTGCACGCTTCGTTGGGTTTGAAACTGGCTGGATAGCCGGGCCAAAAGAGTCGTGGTAAATGGAGGCAAGTCCAGTTGGAGGCCGGTCACTAGTGGCGTCCCCCATGGCTCGGTGCTGGGGCCGGTCCTCTTTAATATCTTCATCAATGATCTGGACAAGGGCATTGAGTGCACCCTCAGTAAGTTTGCAGATGACACCAAGCTATGCGCATGTGTCGATCTGCTCGAGGGTAGGAAAGCTCTGCAGGAGGATCTGGATAGGCTGCACCGATGGGCTGAGGTCAACTGCATGAAGTCCAACAAGGCCAAGTGCCGGGTCCTGCACCTGGGGCGCAATAACCCCAAGCAGAGCTACAGCCTGGGAGATGAGTGGTTGGAGAGCTGCCAGGCAGAGAAGGACCTGGGAGTGATGATGGACAGTCAGCTGAATATGAGCAAGCAGTGTGCTCAGGTGGCCAAGAAGGCCAACGGCATCCTGGCTTGTATCAGAAACAGTGTGACCAGCAGGGCTAGGGAGGTGATCGTCCCCCTGGACTCGGCTCTGGTGAGGCCGCACCTCGAGTACTGTGTTCAGTTTTGGGCCCCTCGCTACAAGAAGGACATCGAGGTGCTTGCGTGGGTCCAGAGAAGGGCGACGAAGCTGGTGAGGGGCCTGGAGAACAAGTCCTAGGAGGAGCGGCTGAAGGAGCTGGGCTTGTTCAGCCTGGAGAAGAGAAGGCTCAGGGGTGACCTTATCACTCTCTACAGATACCTTAAAGGAGGCTGTAGTGAGGTGGGGGTTGGTCTGTTCTCCCACCTGCCTGGTGACAGGACGAGGGGGAATGGGCTAAATTTGTGCCAGGGGAGGTTTAGGTTGGGTGTTAGGAAGAACTTCTTTACTGAGAGGGTTGTTAGACATTGGAATGGGCTGCCCAGGGAAGTGGTGGAGTCACCATCCCTGGAGTCTTTAAAAGACGTTTAGATAGAGCTTAGGGATATGGTTTAGTGGGGACTGTTAGTGTTAGGTTAGAGGTTGGACTCGATGATCTTGAGGTCTCTTCCAACCTAGAAATTCTGTGATTCTGTGATTCTGTGAAAAGATATCTCCTTGGTTGGGTCACACATGGGCCTAGGAGTGACCTTGCCATGAGTGAGATAGATGGGCATGTTCTTTTGGACTCCAACACACCACTCATAGGAACATCTCTGGACAACCCAGCCCTTTGGATCTGCTCAGTCTTGGTGCCTTCCCACTGCCCTGTCCTTTTCCTGAGGTGAAAAAGCTTGAGAACAACGCTGGTAAAACTGGCAGCATCATACCCAACCCCATCCCTCATTCCCAAAAAGACAACATGCAGATGTTCAACAAAGGTGTCTCCAACCACTCAACCCTGGTTTCCAAGAGTCTCCACCACATCCTTAAAAACTCAGGCACAGACACAGTTCCTGATCCTTTCTCAGCTGTTGGATAAAGATGAAATATCCCCGATATCCTTCCCAAGGGGGAGCTGGGAACAGAGCAAAGCTCAGAGCTCCCGCTTAATGAACAAGTGGAGCAGGCAACAAAGAGGAGCATTCAAGGAGGTGCTCCCACTTGAAGGACCATCCCACCACCAAGAGCATCATACCCAGCTGGAAATAAGATGTTAATGTGAAAGAGGACAGTGGATAGAAAGAAAAGAGAATGGAACCAAAGGACTCAAAGTAGAATAGGAAGTCCCTTTCAATATGAGCCACAGGAAAGAAATCTGCCCAAAGTATGCTGACATCAACATTTTAGCAATCCTACTTCCAACCATACCCTTCTGGAAACTTCATTTCCCTCTTCATCCACAACGGAGCTCACCTGGAGAGGGACTAGAAGTCCTATTTCGCATTTGCCTCCTCTTCAGGCACAGAACAGCCCCACAGACCAGTATCAACACTGGACAAATGACTGAGACCAGCAATGGAGCAGTGGCAGAGTCTGTGATGGTGTGATTGAAGCATAGCCTGTAGGGAAAAAGCAAATTTTCCTTCATCCAGAGCTAATCGAGGAGATAATTAGCAGTACACAAGGACAAGAAGAAACAGGCACAATGTGCACCAATAGAAATTCACATTAGATAGCGGAAAATATTCTTTTTCCACATAAGGATGGTTAAATATTGTAACAGAGACCAGAAAGGCACTAGGACCCTCATCCCTGGGGACTTTTACATTTTCACTGGTCAAGGCCATTCACAAGGTTTAGTTGGTCTCACAGTGAATGGAGGACTAGATCGGTGTTCTCCAGAGATCCTTTCCAATCTGTATTATTCTGTCATATATGATTCCAAAGAGGAGACACCAAGAGAGCTTCTGTTAGGTCCCTGTGCATCACAGCTGCCTTTGCCTCAGAGGTGGACCACTTTGGTGGACCACTCAAGGGGAAGTCAAGGCCACTCAAGGTGCCATCGGTCTGACTGCTTCTGTAGAGCAACTTATTTGCAGTGGGCATTGGCAGGGCTGGATGACTGCAAAATGGTCCTTTCTGCAAACCACATCCCACAACCACGGGTTTCTTTCCTTAAAGAAACCTGGGTGACCAGTTAAGATGGAGTGTTCTGCAGGATGTACCAGATGCATAAAGGAGAGTACCTCAGTCTGGGTGGTTCCCAGGCAAGTGCATCCATTCCAGGATAATTCACTGCGTACAGATGTCCTAGAGACAACTTGCTATTTTACTGGCCATGAGGAGAACACATTTTGAGATTTGTCCAAAAGTGGATGGAAAGAGTGGAGCAAATGGGAATGCCAGGACAAGTCTTGCCAATCATGACTCTCAGCTTCCCAGCTCAGCTGTAAGGATATTCCCCATGGTGTAGTCTTTTCTCCTTCAGCCTTTCTGAAAGGTTTTCGTCATTTTTATCCCTATTGTCATGATCATCCCTGCAACTTGTGTTGAGCACATACTCAAGTTACCCACATCCTGGGATGACACTGTTGACCATGGTGCATGGTGACCATGGTGTTGACCACAGAGACCATGGATCCACTAATCCTGTAGGTCAGGTGGAGTCTAGCAAGGTCAGACTCAGCTTGTGTTGAAGGAAATTCCATCTTCATTTTCCATTTGTCTCTGCCTCCTCAGCCACCAGCAAGCATACTCTCAGAGCAGCACTAATTCAGCAAGGAGATGACACCTGCATGCCCAAAGGCTTTTCCATACCAACAGGGCCACCTTACCTGAGCACACCACACCAGCATCTTCCCCTGGTCACAATTGTGTTCCCCCCATGGTTTGGCCAGGCACTCCAAGAGGTTGTCTTCCCCCCCTGTGCAGTTCACGTCATCCATCCAGATGGCAATATGCCCTCGCCCAAACCAAGCTCTGTCAGGGGCTGAGACTGCCACCCCACAGCCCAGCTGCCTGCACACGACTGCAGCATCATTCATGTCCCAGCCGTCATCACACACGGTTCCCCACAGTTGCTTGTGGAGCACTTCGACTCTCCCAGCGCAGAAACTCGAGCCATTCACCAGTCGTAGTGCCACAGGATCTGGAAAAAAAAATAAATGAATGCACTTTTTGGAAGCCTCCATCCATGTCTGCACTGCTCACAGAGATCATATAGCTAATGCATGTCACTGATTTTTGTACCTTTTATGACATTTGTAACTGAGGAACTTCTGTATGCATTTCCAGCCACTGAAAATGACATGCCAAAAAGCTTCTGCACTAGCCAACAACCTTGCAATTTGGACTCCTTTAGCATCAAAGTGAAAGCAGGCATGCTGCTGCTCTCATGCTGTTCAGAGATGTTGAATTACCTGGACCTTTGTGAAGGAGGTGTCTGATTCCTTTATTATACTGAACATCCCCAAACTCCAGAGGGACTTTGAATATTTAAAGCTAAGATGTAATTAGTACCAACTATAATAAGAAAACTTCTGTGACAGAGAAAATTCAGGCATGCTTGCTGGAAAAGAATAAAAACAGAGCAATTTGTAAAAATCTCCCTTTTTGATCTTTGTAAGATGAGCCTTTCTTCCTACCTGCTCTTAATCTGACATTTTTTACTTGTTTTCTTGATAACATCAAACTTTAAAACCCATCCTCTAGTCCCTAAACAAAGCCTTATTCTTCCCATCCCTTGGAGGCTCGGTTGTGTCTCCCATTGCTTTGCTCAGATTCTCATTCCCAACACCAGCTCAAACTCTTTCAGGATCTCCCATCTCCCTAAGGTTTCACTGGCAAGCCCAGCCACTGACCAAACCTCTGCAGAACAGCGACCTGAACTCTTCTGTGGGGCTTAGCATTACCCAGAATAGGAAGAGTGAGTCACCAGCAAAGTCATGCTCTTCCTTCCTCTAGCACACCAATGCTCTCCTGAATATGATATTCAAGAAAAAAACTTACCTGAGCACACAACACCAGCATCTTTACCATGGTTGCAATAACTCTGTTGCCCCATCCTGGAGCTGCATTCAGAGAGGGCAGCTTCTGTCCCTGTGCACTCAACACCTTGCAGCCAGATGTGGCTGGAGCCCTGCCCAAACTCAGCTGAGCCTGGAGCTGACACGGCCATCCCGCAGCCCAGCTGCCGGCACACCACCTCTGCATCTCTCAGGTCCCAGCCGTCATCACACACAGTCCCCCACTGCTGGTTACGAAGGACCTCGACCCTCCCAGAGCAGCGGCTGGAGCCATTCACCAGCTGGAGCTGGAGTGGTCCTGGAATTCAAAAGACATGCAGGTCAAAAACCAAGTAGAAGACAGGACCTTGAGTGGTAGCCAGGTACAATGTGATGTGAAGGCTCCCGTTGGCATAAACACAGGTATCTAATCCCATTTGATGTGTTCTCAGGCATCCAAAGAAACCATGAGGAGGGAACAGACAGGATACAGGGACAAATGGAAGACCTACACCAGTCTGGAGTTCATTCAACATTCATTAGCTGTATCAACAAGGCCACCCTGGACTTGAACAGGAGGGGGTGGCTCAGCCACGTAGTTCACGTGGAGAAACCTGAACATCGACCTAAAGTGCTATGGCAACATAGTGCTATGGAAATACAGAGCAAGAGCCTGGCAGTCCATCAAGACTACATGGACCAAAGGTAGTGAGAAGGGTCAATGTGTAAAGGGACCTGAAAATAGGTCTCTATACAGAGGCAAGAGACACGAGCAAAATAGAGCTATCCATAGGCTTCCCATAAGAGACACAGCAACATACTGAGTCCAGCAGGGCTGCCAACATTGCTCCTTCCAGAGCTGCACCATGAAGCAAGGTGGGGGTTGGTCTGTTCTCCCACCTGCCTGGAGACACGAGGGGGAATGGGCTTAAGTTGCGCCAGGGGAGTTTTAGGTTGGATCTTAGGAAGAACTTCGTTACCGAAAGGGTTGTTAGGCATTGGAACGGGCTGCCCAGGGAAGTGGTGGAGTCACCATCCCTGGAGGTCTTTAAAAGACGTTTAGATGTAGACCTTAGTGATATGGTTTAGTGGAGGACTTCCTAGTGTTAGCTCAGAGGTTGGACTCGATGATCTTGAGGTCTCTTGCAACCGAGAAATTCTGTGCTTCTGTGATGAAGGAATGAAGGTGGCTTACCTGCACACACCACACTGGCAGCTTCTCGGTGGTTACAGTTGTTGTCACCCCATGGCCTGGCCCTGCACTCAGAGAGGGCAGCCTCTGAGCCTGTGCAGTTCACATCATCAAGCCAGATGGGGTCATTCCCCAGCCCAAACGAGCTGCACGTGGAGCCCAGATAGCTGTACCACAGCCCAGTTGCCGGCACACCACTTGTGCATCATCCAGGTCCCAGTCATCATCACACACACTTCCCCATTGCTGGTTATGCAGCACCTCGACTCTCCCAGAGCAGCGGTTTGAGCCGTTCACCAGCCGGACCTCAGGAGGCTCTGAAATGGAAAGAGGCAGAGCACGTCATCTCTTGGTGCCGGACCTGGTAAAGGAGAGACCAAGTGCCTGATATGACAGCGAGGGGGAATCCCCACTTGTTCAGCATCGGTCTAGCCTTGGAGTTCAAGAGTCACATGTGGGAAGAGCAGTGACATAGAGAAGAAAGGAAAAGCAATCCACTGAGCTCCTGCAGTGTTGGAACCCACAAGCTCATGGGCAGATGATCAACAGCTACCTGAGCACACCACACCAGCATCTTCTCCATGGTGGCAGAGGTGGACTCCTTCGGGCCTGGCCCTGCACTTGGAGAGGGCAGCTTCTGTCCCCGTGCAGTTGACCTTGGCCAGCCAGATGGGACCATGTCCCTGGCCAAAGTAAGCCAAGCCTGGAGCTGCAGTTGCTGTCCCCAGCCCAGCTGCCGGCACACCACTTCTGCGTCACGCAGGTCCCAGGCATCGTCACACACGTCCCCCATTGGCGCTGCTCAAGGACTTCAACTCTCCCAGCACAGCGGCTTGGGCCATTCACCAACCGAACCACCTCTGGTTCTGAAACAAAGGAATACACACACACAAAAAAAAAAAAAACCTTCAGGAAGAGTTGGTGGAGACAAGCTTGGGCATGGGATCTTGCAAGAGATGGTGACTCTGTGCTCTGAGCTCCCTGATATCATGCCTTTACTAGACGGGGATTCCCATGAGACTCAGCACAGGTTTTTGCACATGGGAGCTCCGCAAGAAGTTCAGTGACTATTCACTCAAGCTGAAAATGAGCCAGGAAAAATGGGAAGCAGCAGTGATGGGATCCTCCTCGCAACGCTTCTTGGCAGCAGGAATCTTATTATTATCCCCTTGCCTTCTGAAGAAGACACATCCGTGTCTAAGGGGCAGCAGAGGTCTCCGTGAAGACAGGCAGGAGGAATGTGGCAGAGGGTTACCTGAGCACACCACACTGGCGTCTTCCCCGTGGTGGCAGTTGTGGACTCCCCATGTCTGGGCTTCGCACTCACTAAGGGCAGCCTCAGTCCCCGAGCAGGTCACTTTCTCCAGCCAGATGGGATCGTAGCCTCTGCCAAACTTGGCCCAGCCTGGAGCAGAGATTGGAGCACCACAGCCCAGCTGCCGACACACCACTTTGGCATCCTCCATGTCCCAGTGATTGTCACACACACTGCCCCACTGCTGGTGGTGAAGCACCTCCACCCGCCCAGCACAGCGATTTGGGCCATTCACTAGCCGCAGTTCTGTGGGCTCTAAAAGGGAAGGGATAAATTAATAAATATCTTCCAATCTTGCACCACCTCTAAAGATCCAAAAGAAATTTGGCACGTAGAAATGGAATAGCCTGCAGCCACGTATGGCAAGTGTCAAAGGCCAAATGACTCATCTGAGTGCACACATTTCAACATACAGAGAGGATGATGACATGATGGACATGGCAAGCCACTTGAGAAGAGACATTTTACGGTGTCAGATAGAGGATTAGCACAGACACGCAAGGGTGCATCCAGATAATCTGTGCTGATGCCTACAGGAGTGGAGTTACCTCACCTCCCAAGCACTGCTGCTTGCAATGGCATCATACACAAAGGAGAACAACATGTATGCAGGGAACAGACTAAAATTAGATTCACTTTCCTTTCTGACACCATGACCTGGTCACTTACCTGAACACACAACGCTAGCATCTTCGTTGTGATTGCAGTTGTGTTCCCCCCAGGGCTCCAATCTACATTCTGTGATGGCACCTTCTGTCCCTGTGCAGTTCACCTCATCCAGCCAGATGGGAGCGTGTCCTTGCCCAAAGTGAGCCTTGCCAGGGACTGACACGGCCATCCCACAGCCCAGCTGCCGGCACACCACCTCTGCATCTCTCAGGTCCCAGCCATCATCACAAATTGTCCCCCACTGCTGGTTGTGGTGGATCTCAACTCTCCCTGAGCAATGGCTGGAGCCATTCACCAAACGTACTTGAGTTGGTTCTGGAAAGAGACAAGCACCAAATATCTGGATATCCAGGCCAGGACTGGAGCTGCCCTGGGAGCAGGAAGCCCAGTGCTTAAATCATCACAGAATCTCACAGCTGGAGGGTGAGAAGGTTGCAGACACAAGCTGAGAAGAGCAGGCTTCCCTAGGGCTCTCATCTCCTCCCCACTCATCCCACGAGTGTAACATCTGGATGAATACCACCTCTGAAGCTCCCTGTTCGTTTCCCTTGCACACATCAGCCCATCACAGGTTTTCTCCCAGCTCCATTTGCAGGGCTACAATGTACATGTCTACAACTAGGAACATTTCAAACTCTTCTTTTTTCTCCACTAATCCCTTAAAAAAAAAAAAGGGGGGGGGGGAGGGGAGGGAGGGGGGAGAGGCAGTTACCTGAGCATTCAACACCAGCATCCTCACTATGCTTGCAATTATGACTTCCCCAGGAACTGGCCTGACACAGAGAAAGGGAAGCCTCTGTCCCAGCACAGGTCACTTCATCCAGCCAGATGGGTCCTGCCCCTTGCCCAAAGGCAGCGCCAGGGGAGCTGATAGAGCTGAGCCACAGCCCACCTCCCTGCACACCACCTCAGCATCCAGCAGGTTCCAGCCATCATCACACACGGTGCCCCATCTGCTGTCATGGAAGACTTCCACTCTGCCCGAGCAGGGGCCAGAGCCACTCACCAGCCTGGCACGGGTCAGACTTGGAGCAGGTGCCCCTGCAAACACCACCAAGGAGAAAACAGTCAGAGCCTCTGCTGGAAAACCAGCTGCTTACAGTGCTTAGGAGCAAATGATCAGTAACTTTGCTGAGCATGCAGTTGCCTACAATTCTTAGGCTCAGTTTATTCTCAAAGGCCCTTCTGGACAGTGTCTGACAGTCAGGGTATACCCATGAAGGGTTTATTCCCTGTGAAGTCAGGAGTGTTGAAGCTGAGAAATAGTCAGGGGAATGCAGACTCCATGACAGATGTAAAGAGGTCTTGAATCCAAGAATAACATTTGGAAGTTATCTGGAGCAAGTGTGAAGAGTGTGAATTCTTTGCAAAATCATGTGAGGGAAGTAATTCTGCCTACCTGTAGGGGCAGGATTCAGCTCAAAATCTGTGAGCCAGGTGCCAACACTCACAGCACAATCAGAGGACACCCAGCCAACAACATCATCTGGGGGTGACAAGAGGTCCATCTCTTCCTAAAATAGGTGCTGATGGAGAACTGAGTGCTCCAGCAAATGCTGCTTTAGGATGGCATGACTTATGTCCCAACACTTTTAACCATATTGATTAGACCTCATTATAACAGTGCACTGCACTGTTCCAAAGCAGATGACTGCAGACAGGGATATTCAGAGAGGTGAACTCAAGCCATAGATATAAGGAAGACATTCTGTACTATGGGACTGGTGAAACACTGGAGCAGCTTTCCTGAAGAGGAGGTGGATGCCCCCAAGAGGAAATCTTTAAGGTCAGATTGGCTGGAGCCCTGAGAAATCGGATGTAGTGAAGGGTTACCCTGCCCATGTCAGGAGGGTTGGATCTTTAAAAGTCCCTTCCAACCCAAACCACTCTATAATTCTGATCTGGCACCCATTGGAAACAACGGTGTGAGACAGAAACCTGTCTTCTAAGACTGATCTTGCATGGTCCATGGGGCTGCTTTGTGATCAGGACCACCTGACATTAGCAGCACATCTTCCTAGGATGAACAGTAGTTGTCCTGCCCATAATTTCATCCCTCAGCTGTCTCCAGCAGTTGTTGCAGAACCAAATAACAGAACGGTTTAGGTTGGAAGGGACCTCTGGAGGTCATCTGGTCCAAGACGCGGTACGAGCCAGACTCACCCGAGCACACAATGCTGACGTCTTCCCCATGCCCACAGTTGTGATCTCCCCAGGGCCGTGCCCGGCACTCAGAAAGAGCAGCTTCTGTCCCGCTGCACTGCACATTGTCCAGCCAGATGGGGTCTTCTCCTCGCCCATACCGAGCCCCGCCAACAGCAGACAGGCCCATCCCACAGCCCAGCTGCCGGCACACCACACGGGCTTCCGCGAGGCTCCAGTGGTCGTCACACACCGTCCCCCAGGTGCCATTGTAAAACACCTCCAGTCGCCCCGTGCAGGGGTCAGGGCCATTCACAAGTCTTATTTGGGCAGGACTTGATGCTGGCAATGAGGGAGAGCAAAGGGAAGGAAAAGTTAGTAGGAAATCTTCAAAAAAAAATGCTAAGGAGCATCTTGACGGTCTCTACCTGTTGGCTGAAAGGAATAGGGATGAACCAGCAAGAGAAGGACACAAGCACTTATAACTTTATTATCATAATTTTGGCAAGGACACGTGACAGATAGCCCTTGAGCAAACCCCAGGCTGTTCCACCTACTGACAGGTGAAAATATGGTCCCTCAAAACAAGGAAAACCAAAATACATTAGACCAATTTTTTCAAGTGAACAGGCTTCAGGATGAATTTACATTACTCAAAATAAATAAATAAATAAATAAAAATAATATTTTTTTTAAAAAAAAGTAGCGAATACTTGAATTGCAGGCACTTTGTTGGAGCAATTTTGAGTGAGGCTGTGCACTCAGAGCACCATGGGCCAGAAATGTTGCATTCACAAATCTCGGTTGGCTTTATTGAATGAACAGCCTTACCACAGCATAAGGAACAGAAGAGGTCCTTTATTTTCCTTTATTTCTGCAAACCCCTATCCTGCTTCCTCAGATCAGTCTGGCCCAAGCAGATCAACCCCACACCATTTACTACCCCTCATTTCCAATTCCCCCTTTTTTTTTCAGCCATTCAAGCTCTACAACACATAGTTGACACTACTGAGAAGGCAGCACCGCACTCACTCACCACACTTGATTTCTATACCTTTCCCAATTTTTACTTGGCTCCCTCTGCCATCCCTTTGCAATTCACTGTTTTCTTCTGATCATCAATGTATGATGAGGGCAGCTGGGCAGCACTCCTCTCCATTCCCAGTAGGTTGTTTTCTCATTCCTAATTTGCCACGTGACTCTACCACTATAAAAATTTCTCCCACTTTGTGACATCCACCTTCTAGAAGGTATCAGCACTTCTGAGGAAAACTCAAGCCTTCTGCAGCAACCAGCTGGAAGAGAGCTGCCCTTGGCAGGAGGGCTTGGGAGTTCTGCATCTATGCCACTTCCAGCAGCGTCCACAAAGCCCATGCAGGTTGCTCTAGACAAGTACCTTATAACGATAATTAAGCTGCACAGAAATGAAGAGAAGCAGCAACCCAACATGGTGTTTCTGAAAACATAGACTGCAGCCAGCACAGGGAGGAGACTGCACAAGGCACTCACCACACAGCCCTGCTAGGATGAGGACGACCTCTGCAGTCCCAAGCCCAGCGCGAGCAGACAGCCTCTCACCCATGGGTGCTTCATCCAGCAGCAGCAGAATTTTTGAGAAGTTGTTACCAGTCCAGCAGGAATAAAGGAGGAGGTGGCTCAGCAGGGGCTGAGCTCAGGTCCACCCTTACCAGCTGGGGAGGAAATATAGCAAAGACCGATAGAGGCAGCTACAGGAGGATGCTTCCCACACTGCTCCTCCCTGCTGCTTGTTCCTCCCATCCCTGCTTGCACTTGCAGCACATGGAGCCAAGTTTCTGAGGGGGAACCGAATCTGCTTTCAGCTTGACCCTTGGTGATGAGCAAACATGCTCTGGGAGCAGACACTGTGGGCACTTTGGAGATGTCCTATGGGTACATTTCACAAGAGGACAAGAGAGAGGGGACAGGAAGGACTGGGAGAGTTGCAGCGCTTGGGTACAGTCTTAGCTTAGGTCCAGCATAACAACCTACCCCCTCTGTAACATATGATGTTGCACAGGGGGAGGTTTAGGTTGGATATGGGGAGAACTTTCTTTACTTAAAGGGTTGTGGACCTTTGGAACTGGCTGCCCAGGGAAGCTGTTGAGTCACCATCCTTGTAGGTACTCAAAAGACATGTAGAGATGGTGCCTGGGGACCTGGCTTTGGTGGTAGACTTGACAGTGTTAGGCTAACAGTTGGATTTAGAGGGTTTTTACAAACTAAATGCTTATATGATTTAAATGTGGGTTGTGAGGCTCCTCCTGGCCTGCAGACATGCCCATGTCCATGCCCTGGACCTGCAGCCACCACCCTCCTGTGGCCCTGCCATCATTCCCAACTTCCTCAAAATAAACCAACAAATACATAAATAAATGAAAATCCTTGTATTGGGCTTCCACATCAAGGGTTTGGTAGCACGGGGGAGCTGCAGGGGTGGCCTCTGTGAGAAAAGACCAGAAGCTGCCCCATGTTAGAGACAAGCCAGTTCCAGACAGGTTGAAAAGGGACAGCAGAAGCTATGAGATAAAGTGAGAGAGAAAGAACCCTGCAGGCACCCAGGTCAGTGAAGAAGGAGGGCAGGAGGGGCTCCAGGAGCCAGAGCAGAAGCTGCATCATGATTCTAGGATTCTAGGATTGCAAGTGGCTAAGAAGAACTTCATATGGAGGATGGAAGACAAAAAAGCTCCTTCTGCCAAATACTTGTTCCCTAGCTGTTAAAATAAATAAATAAAAATAAAAATAAATAAATAAAAATAAATAAATAAATATCTGTTACTAGGGTATGATTTCTTGATACCTAAAAAATATTGGAAAATTAAGCCATAACTTGCTGTGCCCACTTAGCTTACAGGACACACTGGTATTTGCTCAGCATCCTCTTGCATTCCCACTCCTTCCGTGATGTCCTAAGTAGTGTGAGCAGCTCCCTTGGGGCTTCTTACAATCGTGATAACAAAACAGCCAGCCTCTGGTGCTTACACTGAATTTCCCAGAGCTGTGCATCTGCATATTTTTGGATGCAGCTTCCTGCAGTGTGTGGAGCTTGTGTGTTCACAGAATCACAGAATGGCCAAAACTCAACGTGGGATATGACGTAGTTGAAAGGGTTGGAAAACATGATGACCATGGTGGACTTGCCACAGAATCACAGAATGGCTGAGGTTGGAAGGGGCCTCTGAAGGTCATCTAGCCTGACCTTCTGCTGCGCAGGATCACCTAGAGCATATCACCTCCCTTGAGCTGCTGGCAACCCTCTTCTAAATGCACCCCGGCATCTCCTAGGACTTTTTGGCCACAAGGGAACATTCATGGTCAGCTTTCTGTCCATCAGGATGCCCAGGTCCCTCTCTGCAGAGCATTACCCAGCAACAGAGGGTAATAGTCTGACTCGTGGACATCGTTTGTCAGTCTTTCCAAACCACCTTGTATCCAAGCATGGATATATCTTATATCCATATACGATATTTAGGCTTGACATAAGGAGGGGGTTCTTCACAGAGAGGGTGGTTGCACACTGGAACAGGCTCTCCAGGGAAGTGGTCACTGCACCGAGCCTGTCTGAATTTAAGAAGAGATTGGACTGTGCACTTAGTCACATGGTCTGAACTTTTGGATAGACCTGTGCAGTGTCAAGAGTTGGACTTGATGATCCTTAAGGGTCCCTTCCAACTCAGGATATTCTATGATTCTATGATTCTATGATATATCCATATATCTATATATATCTTCATATCCACAGCCTGAAGCATGGAGTCCCCCACAGAAATCACCCACCGCTTCTTCTGGGCATTCCCACAAGGTGCAGGGCCTGTCGGCCCATCTGCCTCACTTGAAGTCTTGCCCAGCTCTTCCTCAGTTGTCTCGGTTGAGACCTCTGGCAGCCGATGCAGTAACTCCAGCAGCTGCTGGGAATACACCCTGCAACTTAATGGCCATGCCTGAGGAAGCGTACACTGAGATGAGGAAGATGCTAAAACTCATCTGAATTAATATTTAGCTACATATATGGTAAAATATCCTGATTATCGGGGAATGTAGATGAGAAACTTATGAGAAGCAGATGTAAAAGTGAAGATATCGCTCAAGGCCAACGCATAAGGGAAGGATGAACAACTCACTGGCAGAAAATAAGGCAAAGATAAGCAAAAAACTCCTAAATACTGTCCAACATAAGGTCAAAGTACAGGAAGGTAAAATGTTTAACCTCCTCTTCCTTGTTGCCTTCATCCTGAAATACCCCTGCCCTCGAATACCAGGCTACATTGCGCAAGCACAACTGGGAGGAGCTAATGGGGGGGGAGTTTGGAAATGAGTACTACTAGGAAGAGGTCCGCCTTTTCAGGGA